TTTCTTTTTATATTTTTCCAATCTTATAACCAGCCCCCATTTGCCCAAAAATAAAAGGAAAAGGGTTGCTTAGAAAAGGAAAAACAGATAAGGGAAGAGAGCAATTGGGTTCCTTAAACGAAATAATTTAGTGAAAATTTAAAAGAAAAATCAAATAAAGCGGTGACTCGGATCAATTTTCTCTGAAAAAAATCTTATTATTTTGCCATGTCAGCTTACAAATTGTTAAAATTTAATGAAAGGATCAAGTTATTTATTTATTTATTTATTTTTGGAGTTTGGGGACCAGCATGGTAAAATCTATAGTTTAAGGTCCAAAATAGAAAAAGGTGCCTACTTGAAGGACCAGATCGGCGCTTACACGCAAACGAAAAAGATTTTCTTAATTATCTGTTAATCTTTCACCCAAAACAGCAAGATAGTGCCCAAAAGTCAGTGGGTAAAATTCCACATAGGCATCCAGTCCGTCGGCATCATTTTGTGGGGTTCCCGCAACTTCTGTTTTGTTCGAATTAGTCAACTTTTACTTGCACCAATTAAGGACAATTATGCAGAAGAAAAGAATATGTTGTAGTATTTCCTGTTTATATTTTGATTTTGTTCAAATTAATCTGTCAATACATACACACACATACATATAATATGCGTGTGTGTATATATATATATATATATATGAAATTTACATGTAATACAGGAGTATTGAATAAATTGCTAAATCATTTAATAAAAAAATAGATAAAGATTAATTATTAGAAAGAAATTGACTACGTGAATTTTTAGTGAGTAATACATATATGGAAAAGAAATAGATCAGAAATTAATTATTAAAAAAGTTAATTATATGATTCCATGAACCAAATGTTCTTTTAATTTTTTTTAACATATCTGTTCTATATTTATAATATTAAAAGATTAATAATTCAAAAAATTATTTTTTCCCCAAAATAACCAAACCGCACCTAAAACATTGACGGACACAACAAGCTCTGCCCGATCTTTGGCCGTGCGAAAAATGGGGTTGAGTTGATCCTGGGTAGGTATGTAAACGGGTTGGATTCAGATCAAATCAGGCTGATCCGAATCCGAATCCGATTATCAATATATATATCCGAATCCAACTCGAAATCCTATAGGATTTCTACTTGTTATTACCGAATCCAAATCCGATAAAAATCCGAAATCTGAAAAAAAATCCGATCCGAATAACTGTTAATAATAATTAAAATCAAATAATCAATAAGTAAAATATATGTAAAATCAAATAAATTGTTATATATGAATGATAAAAATTCATGTAAGATTTATATTTAATTATTTTTATTTGTTAAAATATAAATAAAATTAAAAATAAATTATTATTTATGAATGATAAAGAAGAATTTTTGTTATATAATATATTACAAAAGTGATGATAGGATTTCAATATTTTATAAAACTATTAAGTTTTATTTGTATTATTGTTAGAATTTAGAAAATTTTATAATCAATTTATTTAAGTGTTTCATGAATTTCAAAAGTAATTAATTATTAAAAATAATACCTACTAGAAAAACTAAAATTATGAAAAATAAAAGAATATTTATAAAATAGTTTAGAAAAAATATACATTATTCTATTAAATAAAATATCTCACAAATACAAATTAGTATGTTATTAATTATAATGTCATATATATTATATTATATATAAAAGTATTTATTAATATATATAATTATTAATTAAATAAAAAATTATTATTAAATTATTCGGATTCGGATTTTTAATGGATCAGATTGCTTAATTTCATATCCGGTCCATTTATTTCGGATTACGGATATTTATAATCGGATTTAATCCATCGGACATTTTAATCAGTTAAACGCCTAAAATTCGGATCGAATTCGGATTAAAATTCAACCCATTGATAGCCCTAATCCTAGGTGCTCCCCATTGGGGCAGCACCCTGCAATCTTTTATTTTTGTTTTTTGATTTTTTTATTTCATGTTAATTAAACAGAAAAAATATAGACATAATATTAAATGTCAAATTATTTTATAAACAATCAAAATAAAATTGTTCTATTTTTTTCTTTTTAAATTTAAAAATAAAACACAAAAAACTAATTATTGTTTTAAAATTTAAAATAAAACACAAAAAATTCAAAAATTCAAAAAACTTAACATTGATATACATAATCAAAATCAAATGTAATGAATTTATTCAAACAATCAATTTTTATTTAATTAAATAAATATGAAATAAAAAATAAAAAACTAAACTATAAGTCCCCGTGTCACCCTACTGAGGTGCTACTCCACTGGGGCACCCAGAACCAAATCAACCGAAAAATAGACAAAGAGTCGTAATTCAACTAATTTAAACTATATATTTTATATTTATATTAAATGTAGCTTTAAGTTATTTAAACAAAATAATAAGTTATGCATACAAAACCAAAATAAATTGCATATGTGTGTGCGTGTGTGCGCGTGTGTATCAATTAGAGATTGCCCAATGTAGGGTGGGGCCGGGGCTGGATGAAAAATTAAATTCAAATTCAAATTTAAATTTATTTAATTTTATTTAAATTTAACTAGTTAACAACTCTATCCAAATGTAAAGAATCACTTATTAACAAATGCAAAATGCATTGTTCACCTTGCCCATAATGTGAAGTGAAAAACCAAATCAATAGATTAATTTGAAATTCAAAATTGTTTAAAAATAGATATAAAAAATGAACAAAAACGGAAAGCAACCAAATTTCAAAAAAAAATAATAATAACAAAAACCAAAAGCGAGTAATGTAGAGAAATTAAAAAAAGGCACCCAATTTGTAGTACTAACCCTTAGGGCCTTGGATAGACAAAAAAAATTTATTAAAAAAATGATAACAATCCAAAGATGATCAGATAATTTGGATTTGGGACATTTTTTTTTATCATAGATTAGCCAATTGGCTAAATCAATTATAAATTCAAGGATGGTCAAATTTCAAACAAATATGAACATAAATTGATGATGGCAAGTCGATAAATTTAACTAGAGAGATTTATTAATAAGATGACCCAAAATTTATTAGTGTGACACTAATGTTATACATAATGAATGATATTATTATAAATAGAATAACATTCAAGAAATTGGTAGAAATTCAAATGGAGAATTATCAAAGACAAGTTTGGGTGAAGTCCACTAATACTAACCTCAACCTAACTTGAACCCTACTCACACCTTATCCCCTTGTACAAACCATATGATTTTTCTCATTCATTGGCCCATTCAACCCTCAACAACTCCTATTTAATTTATGAGATCCTGTGATAATCTCTTGATTTATTTGTTTACTATTTTTGTGTGTGGATTTCATTTCATCGTGATATATGAAAATACTACTCTTGAAAATAATGTTAAATAAACCTTACTTGTTGAGTCTTCTAGGCATTTTCAATTTCAATTAATAGATTTTTTTATTAGTTGTAAGAATAATTTAAATTGAATTTGATTTTTATTTAATATTTATTATATATGTTAATACTTAATAAGTATAAATTAAACCCAACTTATCCTAACCCTTCGCAAGCCTTCTTTACGTGCAAATTACCACGTAATCAAATGAGCGAGTATCTGTAAAATTTGATCCTGACATGTGTTACCTACATATAGAAAAAAATTTATTTAAATCGAAGGTTTCGAGCATGGAAGAGAAATGCCCAACTTCTCATGAGAGAAACTTCAACAGTTATTGCTTATGAAATTCTAAACTAAGTGAAAAGCACTTTACTACATATTATATCTGTTTTTTAAAGTAGAAATATCACTAATTAAAATTTAATTTACAAATTTTATTATTTTATAATCAACTAGCAGAGATGATATAAATATAGAAGACAATTTAGTAATAAAATCATAATTTAACTATTATTTGTTAAACATAATTGCTAAAATTAAATTTCATTATTACATATATACATATAATAATATAAAAATTTTTATTTAATACAAAAATAAGTAAAATTATGTGATATACAATGAATTTTACATTAAACAAAATTAACGAGAGAACCTAAGTTACAAGTAAAAATGTTCTGCACTATATTTTAATAAGTTAATTTGTTAGGAATAAAATAATAGTTATTTAAAGATTATACCAGAACTAGTTTAAAAGACCAATGAGTGGTAAGAGGGCCATGAAACCCACTTTGACAAAAAAAATAATAATAAAAAGTGGTAAAGTGTGTGACGAATTTTATACCGAATAAGTAAGTTGGCGTCTTAGAAGAAAGTAATAATTTAGTAATAAATATATCATTAATTATTAATCAATACCACAGGAAATTATAAATATTAAAAATATACAAATAAAAGGGAATTCATCCAATTAATGGTCGCATGAGATTATATTTATACATAATTTATATTAAAAAATTAACTATTAGAATAACCAAAAGAAAATGAAAATAAACTACCAAAAATTATTAGCCAGTATTTAATATTTTTAAATTGGATGTAGTTTCCACGTGCTTCGATGATAATCTCTTGCACTACTAAGCAAAAAATAAATAGAAATAAATAAATAAAAGAAACTCCAACACAGAAAAAAATTTAAAATAAAAAGCTTACTAAATTACGAAATTACCCATGTTGGGACGATTTAAGAGCCACAAGTCGGGAGAGGGACCCAGAACTAGCGGGAAGAGAACACCAGAAGGAAAAGGATGGCTTCACTACGTTTAGCCCCATAACACTCCGGCCACCGGAATTAACCGCCGGACACGTCAACCACAGAAAACTCCGTCGTCGCCTTCACCGTCAGAAGGCGACCTATTTCAGTCTGCTCTTCCGCGAACTCACCGGGATCCGCCACAGATGCACCGGAGAAGCCCGAAATCCAGCTCGAGTTCATAGGGGTAGGCGCACACTAATATTCTGATTCTTAGAAATTCGCCGATTACGTAATGGAATTGTTACCATGAAAGAGACCCAGTTGCACAGGCAAGCACACATTTAATAGACATATATGTTTGTATTTTGTGTTGATGTGAAATTTGAATTCTGGGTTGTGGTTAGCCGAACTCGGGAGGAGATGGGAAGTACCCGGTTGATAGAGCGAAAGCTGTGAGTGGAGAGAAGCTGCTGAGGAACATCATGTTGGATAATAAGATAGAGCTCTACGCTGCCTACGTAAGTTGTCTTACACTTCTGGCGCATACTAGAGTCCCTCCTCTTCTCTGGTTTATATAGTAAAGGACGCCGTAATATCGGAGTTCCTTTGGAACTGAGATATTTAATTGAACTTCTGTAGGGTAAAGTGATGAATTGTGGAGGAGGTGGAAGCTGTGGAACATGCATTGTGGAGGTATGAAACAATCCCTAGTGCCATTTTCTCTTTCAATTTTCTTAAACACAACTAATTTTTAATTTTCATTTCAAGTCTGAACCAATAAGTTGTAAGTTTTTCTTCTGGGTTAATTGGACTCTGGTGAAAATGAGATGTGTCGCTGCTTATTATATGTGAACTTGCAAGTGATTTTTCCTTGTGTTTTCTACTCTAAATTGAAAAACAATTATACCTACGTGACAAGCTGTCCTTGTTAAACAGGAAGAATTTGAACTCAACTTTGAAGTACAACATGCAAAGATCATATACACTTAATGCATAATTTTCTCACGTTGGACAAATCATGTAAGAGGAAATTTCTAATGTTTTCAGAAACATAAGGCGCAATTCCAAATCCAATGTAAAACCTGAAAATGTGACTCAACTTTTCTGACTTGCTTTTTAAGTTCTTTACTAAATGTCATGGCCTCGTCTTTATCAGCCTATTGCTCTTTGGTATTAGATTTAAAAAATGGCTTCTCGGGAGCACATGGAATGGATGAAACAAATAAAATATGACAGGAATTTTATTTGCGCATTAGATTAATTACCTAAAAAATTTGTGAAGAATGAGTGCAAGCTGAAAAGCTTAACTGTCTCGCAAAATAAAGCTATCTGAAATATGGTTTTGTCATCTACACAGATTTTCAACAATATTGAGACTCTTCCATTCACTAACTCTATGATTTGTCACTGTGCAGATTATAGGAGGACAGGATCTTTTGAATGAACGAACAAACACTGAGCTCCGCTATCTGAAGAAGGCACATTTCCTTTCCCAAATTATGTCTAAATTCTCTATGCTCTGATAAAATATTTTATCAAATGTTTGTCATACCACATTCTTTCTTGATTATCAGTTCTCCCCGACTGGTCACTAATAATACAATCAACCCATTTAAAATGTTCACTTGTGTGTTATAAGTAGAGAAGGTGGTGAGATCTTGTGACGAAAATAGCTATTTTGGAACTTTATTGTTTGATTTTCAAGTTGTTGATGCTCTGTAACTGACGTGGCCCATCTGTCTGGTTCAATTGGTCTCACTGGCCTTTTGTGAGGAGAATTCACTTGTTTCAAGTTTTGGTTAATGATATGAGGTATATAAGATCTATGGGGATGGGGGAGAGCTTTATGCCGTTATGCTGCTGAACAAACAAAAATGCTAGTTCAGCTAAAGAATTCAAGTCAACTAACATTGACATTTCACGTCTATTATATCTTTTAATGATGTTATTTCTACAGAAATTGGCTTACTTCCTAATTTTGGTTGAATTGTGCAGAAACCGGAATCATGGAGGCTAGCTTGCCAAACTATTGTTGGAAATAAAGAAAACTCTGGAAAGGTATGACATTTGGAGTCTCTTCATTGCATTCTTCAATTTCTGTCATTATTTGAAATTGTTTTAGATATAATTACTCTTTCAAACAAGTCATTCTTGGTGCTTCTCAATCTTACTTTTCAAGCCACTCGTGGTCTTCAGACCAATGCCCTGTTGTACCCCTCCATTGAAAGTTAGGCACATATGCTGCAATGTATATGTTTTTACAAAATGAAAATAAAGGAATAAATTTTGTGAATGGAAAAATGCTTTATTGATTTAAGTTATTTGTTGATGCTGCTAATATCTAAAAGTGTCAATGTTTACTTGTGGGCTAGACCCATTAGTAATTTTGCAAACTCTACATTTCCCGCCGTCATAACGAAGTCCATTGTTGGATTTATACCATGTTCAGGTTGTGGTTCAAAGGTTGCCTCAGTGGAGGAAGTGAAGATGAATAAAAAGAAAAGAGAAAGGACAAAAATAGAGATGTACTTTTAGATATTGGGCACAGCCAACTTACTGGAGGAATGTTCCTTCTATTGGCAGCCTGTATTAAATAGAATATTTCACAGGCATTACAGGTAGCCTTTGAATGATGTTTTGTTTGTTATAGATCAAGTTGATATTACAATATTGTTACATATTTATTGATGAACAAGGAGAATAAATTGATATCTTTCTCTTCAATCTGTACCTTTTAAACAAGTCTAACAGAGCAAGTCTGAAATTCAAGTTGTCTTCTTGTTAAGCATTTGAATGACTTCTGATTCTTAAAAGCATAAAACTATAAATTCTCTCCCAGTCCAGTAACTCTCCTTAAATATTTGTTCTAGACTTCAGTTTTCTATTTTTTTTTTTTATACACCAAACAATCTTAAAAGCTAGAAACTAAAAACCCAACAAAACCAGGCTTTGATAATCTGTTTTTACCAGTTTTTATTTTTATTTTTTTACTTTTATTTTTTTCATCTCCAAATCAAACATCCTATAAGAAGAAAGAAATTTATAAAAATATTTATTTTTATATATTGTTACATTTGCAAAGATTTTTTCGGATAATCAAACAAAAATAACTTTTTTAAAAATAAACCAATCATTACATAAATAATTTGTGTATAATTTTTTATGGATAATCAAATTAAAAAGAGCTTTTTCTGAAACAAATTAAATTTTATTTTACAAAAATTTGATATTTTCTAATTCTAAAAAAATAGAAATTCAAAAATAATTTTAAACTAAACATCTCAATTTTTTTTTTAAAAAAATTGTTAGGTCAACAAATCACTTGAACATGTAGTGTTGTATTTTTTTTAAAAATGCATTTTTTTATTTCTTTAAAGATAATTAAGATGTCTTAATTAAAACTCCAAAAATAAAAGATCAAATAAGTTATATAAGGAAATTGAACTTTATAACGTGTTTTATGAGGTGGGTTCATGCGAATCATTCAATGACTTTGAACTATAAACAAACATCACAAAGTTAATTATGGAGCCTTTCCTCATAGATCTACATGGTCCCATTCCCAAGCCCACCCATTCTTGTTGCTACCATATCCAACACCCCCTCCTTTTTCTCACTTTCTTTTTGTTCAATACTTCTCCTTTTGGCTTTTCCCTTTTGCTTTTTGCTTTTTGCTTTTTGCTTTTTGTGCTTATGGACTTGCTGGGGGTCAAAAAATTATTAAAAGGGGGGCTATGATTGGGCTTTATTTTTTGTAAAAAAAAAAAAATTATGTCCCCATCTGTAAAATTTACCACAATAACCTCCTTTCCAACTGATAATAAAAAAGAAAAGAAAGAAGAGAAAAAGTAACATACCCATGGTGAATAAAGTCTTGTATCGGCAGTCTTGAATTTCTTCTATAAAATTAAAAAATTAGAGTTTAAACTAAAAATGGGCACGAATAGTTAATAATAAAAAATTTAGTGTACTTTGTAAAATTTGTTATAAAATTTTTAAGCAATAATAAAATAAGTGTTTAGAACATAATTTTTATAATTTGCTCAAAGAGAAGCAAAAATTTTGAAAAACTTTTTAAAAATTCATCAAAAATTCTATTGGTTGATTTTTGAATTTTTATTTAGAAAAATTCCCAAAAAAAAAGTCTAAAACAGTTTTTACTTAATTATAATAATGTTACTCATAGTTAGGAACAAAATACCATTCTCCCATATTTCTAAAACTTACTTTTATTTTATTTTTTCTTACTTTAACAAAGAAAAGTAGGAGTTAAAAATAAGTTTTTAAATATTTTAAAAGTGATTGTGTATATTGAGAAATTGAAAATCACCTTTTACAAGTTATTACAAACACTGTCTTATTTTGAGTAGATTTGATGCTAGGAGTGCACACTCAATACCTGTTAGATGCATAAAAAATCAAATGTTTAGAATCACTTTCTTATATATATAGTGTTAGTTATGCTAGCATCCATTGGATGCATAAAAATTAAATGTATAGAATCACTTTTCATTTATCCAATGCCTAGTTATATTGTTCCAGAAGTGTACATCCAAAATTAAATACACTTTACTTTGTTAGAAGTTGGATCATAATCTTTTAGAATATTTTCTTTTGCTTTTTGTGTTTCCCAAACAAAGAAATGGTGAATAGTCAAGTGTAAGAAGACACAACAGTTCAATAAAGTAAGACTACTGCTTGCCTCTTTTATTTTCTTGGCTGGGAGGGAGAAGAAGAGTACTGTTTGGTTTTCTTTTAAAAAGATGTCTTCTAGTTCTCTGTGTTTGTGGTTTTTTAAATTTTTATTTAATTAAAAGTTTTGTATACAGGAAAAAAAGAAACCTAACTTAATTAAGTTAAAGTTAAAATTTTAAATAAAATAAACATGAAAAATATTAAATTTTATAATAAAAAATTAACCCCTATAAATGCTGTAATAGGGAGGAAAAGAAAAATACTAAAATTATCTGGCCAACGACCTAGACCAACGTTATTTGGAAATATTTTTCTCGCATTCCAAAGTAATTAAAAAATAAAATTAAATAAATTAAGTGGTTCAATTACAGAGGAAATTAAAAATTGACACCCCCAAAACAAGCTTAATTTATGCTTCCAATACCACAAAACTACAACCCTTCACTGAGAATACGAATGGCGGGAGGGAACTAATTAAGTGCGGTTTAATTAATTAACCCGGTTTGACTCGTCTGGTCAACTCAATTTGCATCTGTTCCCCCAAAAGCCCGCCCATTGTCCCGCAATTTAAACTCCGTATCGGAGATTGTTTGCCCTTTAATTTTGCTTCCCTAAATTTTTAATCTGCTTCGTTTCTCGCCCAGCTATTATTAAATTCTTAAAATTAAATCTCCTGGTTTAATTACTCTAATTTAATCCTTTTTAATTGAACGGGTAATTTGTTTATCGTTCCTTAATTACGGAACAATGCATATATTTGGTCCATCAATTAGGTGACAGTGTGCGGTAATTTGAAGTTTGGAAGGTTGTTGTCCAGTTGTCTAGAGGATCGGGTCCTGTCAGACGACGGGGACAAAAATTATCGGATGACCTTGGAGTAAAAGACCAAAGTTTTGGGGCCTAGTTAAAAATATTAATTCAAATTGATCCTATAACATGTAAATAGGTCTTTTATTTAAATTTATTTGAATTTGAAGTCTTAGACATTCACGATAACATGTAAATACCTATTTTATTTAAATTTATTTAAATTTTAAGTCTTAAACATTAGATTTTATTTTCCTTTTTACACAGGTCCCAGGGCAAATTTATATTATAAAAATAAATTTACACGGGTATACTAGATGTTCTCACAAAAATGGTAAGGCCCGTTTTAGTTTGACAAAATATTTTTTAATTTTATTTTTTGTTTTTATTTTTTAAAATGATTTTCATTGTTAGATTCTCAAAAATTAGGAAATATATTTGATTTAATTTTAGTATTTTCTATTTTTAAAAAATAGTTTCGGATTTTCAATATGTTTTTTTATTTCTAATATTTTAAACAAAAACTAAAAATGACTTTTTATTACCTAATTAAGGTAATTTCAATATTCAAAATGCCTTTCCTCCTTGGACAAAACTCCTGCCCCAGGCTCATTCCTCCTGTCCGATCCAAGATCTCTCTCCAAGCTTCCTTCTTTTTCTTGCTCCTGCTTCTGCTTACTTGGAGATCAGCTTCTTCTTGTACTTCTGCTTTGCTTCTTGCTTCTTCTTCACTCCAAGCTTTCACTAATTAATGTTTCTGCTCGAAGCTCTTACTCAACTTTTCCAATCCAAGCTTCTTATTTCTTATTTTTTTTAGACAAGGCTGATAGCTCGACATTACTGGTTCTATAAAAGTATTGTTGCACAACACTCCATTGGTGATTTTATTTTATATTTATTTCTACATTGTCACTCTATTACCAACACAAAACATCTAGTCACTTGCATATTGCTATATATATATTGCTATACGTGTTAGAATTGATATGTAAGTATTTGTTAACTCACAATCATTCGTTTGATATTTCACAATCACTCATTTGTATAATCATAATAATGCATTTGTTATTTTTAGTAATTGATTTTTTTTTTTACAACAAAACACTTATTACTTTATTATTTCCCATCAATAAATAATATATTATTTTACAGTTATCCGTCTATATGCTATTAATAATACTTCTTCGATTTTACATTCATCAAATTGTCTATTAGATAGTTATTCATCTATTATTTTATAGTTATTTATTTGTCTTTTTATACTTATATTTATTCTTTTATATATCATCTATTTTTTTACACTTATATATATATATTATTTTACAGACTTATTTATTTAAAAATATATATATTTATAGTTATTTATATGTCTATTTATAATTAATTTTCGTATATTTGTTTCCGTTATCCACTCATCGACTCGTACAAGAGCTCTACGTAGAGGTCCATTTAGGTGGACAAGAGCTTTGTGCAAAGCTCCCATCTTGTTTGACAAGTGGACTGAAGCTCTCAAAGCCCCGTTTGTCTGTGCAAAGCTCCCATCAAGGCTTTGTAGTTATGCTGAACAATTAGATTTCTCAAAACAAATTAGGTCTTTAAGATCTGATTTTTCTACTGAAATCTAAT